GATGGATGGATGGATGGATGGATGGATGGATAGATAGATAGATAGATAGATAGATAGATAGATAGATAGATAGATTGATTGATGAATAGATAAATGGATAGACGGACAGATATACAGATGGATTGATTGAGAGATGGATAGATAAATGTGTAGACAACGAGATAAACAGATGGTCGATGCATGGATTGATTGATAAATAGATAGCTGGATGGACAGATGTATGCTTTCATGAAACCATAGATGATTTTTTGATTAGATGGACTGATTATTGAATGAATGGATGCATGGATGGCTGATTGCATGAATGATAAGAGGCATTTATTATTAAATGAATTGATGAAAGCATTGAAGAACAAGCTGATGGATGAATGAACAGAATGATGAATGCATGATTGCATGAGAGAATGAATGGATGATATATAAATGATTTCATTTCATTTACTGATCTGTTTTTGTGACTTTGTTTCTTTTGTAGAGAGAGAAGTTCGTCAAACTCTTGGATCAGCTTCACAACTCTCTGAGGATCGACCTCTCCAAGTATCGGGTGAGTTAAAGCAGCAGAACGGCACAGCACACGTATGATCCGCCGCTCCAGATTGATTTTCTCTTTCAGAGATATCAGAAAGAAAAACACTCATCTATTATTCATCGCCATAGAGATAATTTAACCTCTCCATCACTTTTAGTGATCCCCTACCTTAATTTACAATGACATTCAAATGCTTTACAAGCTCTTCACAGAACAGAAGGTCTATTTATTCACACGATTTGAGAAAGATTGTTCTCGACTCGCACTGCCCTTCTTGCTTTTATACTAATTGCAATGTTTGTCTAAATGCGTAACGAGAGAAACACCTCTCAGCCAGACAGAAGTTTCTTCTGGAAGGACGCTTTTGCAGTCAGATCGTGTATGACTCTCTCGAAGACATGTGGTCTGTCTATATCTCAGAGTGAGAGCTGGAAAGCATTGACAGGGTGCTCACACACACACACACACACACACACACACTCGACTGGCAGGCATCCAGTGAATTCAGTGGCTGTTACCTGCTCCTATACAGCCGTCAGCTTCCAGGCAACACGTCCTGACAGTAATACACTCCGGATCTGCTGAGCTCTGTGGATTTGACTGTAATGAAATTCTGAAGCAAAGTGAGTCTGGTTTCTCGTACAGCTCGTGTGGATTTGGCCAAGGCAGGTTTTGTTCTTCCAGGGCACTTTAACGCCTCTGCTTTATTAGATAAATTTCCACCACTTGCGGCTGTGTTGTCTGTGTTCAATAAACCTCAGGCAGATTCATCTCCTCACCACTTGTACAGGATTATACGTTTCTCCAGACGCCTTGAAATCACACAGAACTCCGGAAAACACTAGACGCTTTCTGCTCAATCTGGCCCCGTTCCACATGCTTTCAAAACAACAACTCTATCATAGCCAAAAATTGATTGCACAGAACTGCCTAAACTTGAAGTGCAACAGTTTATTTTATCCATCTGTCTGAAATCAAACAAGTTTATTTACAAATATCATACACTACCATCCCAAAATTTTGAGGTCTTTAAGATTTTTTAAGTTTTAGAAGTCTCTTCTGCTTAACAAGGCTGCATTTATTTGCTCAAAAATACAGTAAAAAATGTGAAATATTTTTACAATTTAAAATAACTGTTTCTATTTGAATATATAGTAAAATGTATTTTTTTCTGTGATGCAAACCAGAATTTTCAGTATCAATACTCCAGTCTTCAGTGTCACACGATCCTTCAGAAATCATTTTAATTTTAGTTAAGGTTTTTATTTTTTATTTTTTAACATTTTTTTTTCATGCAATAACTAAAAAAAAATTATTCCTGTGATGCAAAGCAGAATTTTCAGTATCAATACTCCAGTCTTCAGTGTCACACGATCCTTCAGAAATCATTTTAATTTTAGTTAAGGTTTTTATTTTTTTATTTTTTTATTTTTTTTTTCATGCAATAACTAAAAAAATCAATAATAATGTTTTAAATTTTAGTTTCAGTTTTAGTTGACTATAACAACCCTAGTAGACAACACAGTAAATCTTGTGTAGATCTTTAGATGTTCTGAAGGTTCCTTATCTAAACTCTCTCCTGTGAATCCAACCCACTGCTGACACTCACAGTTTAATGATTTCTTACCTGAGCAATCTGTTACCGGCACATCGACCTGCCTGAGGCCCAATCATATGTTCATATCTCTTTGCTTTTCTGACATTTCACATCACTCAAGAGCTTCTGCACGCTTATTCGTCACCTCAAACGGCCATAGAGACTTTCAGAGTGAAGCAAAGTGTTATTTTAGTGATGTTATATGAAGTCTTTACTGGCACGCTTGATTTCAGACACCTCAGGGCTCTTTCACACTAGAGCGTTTGAAGCAGACCAGAGTCTGTTTGAGTTCAGTTCGTTGGTGGACACTTCATGTAAACTCAAGCCGTTTATTATTATGAAAATATTCTGTCCTTATTTGCACAGTAAAGCTGTGTTGGTGGCATAGAATTTGCATCTCTGCATTCTCCCAATCATATTTATAATATAATGCATTTCTTAAAGATGCTTGTATATGAATAAACTGCCTGCTGATTGAAGCTTGCATTCATTGCATATTTTGCAATGCAAGACAAATGCAATTGCTGTGCTGTGCATGTAAAGTTTTGACAGTGATTCCAAAGAGACAAATGTACTGCAAAAAATAAATAAATAAATTTAGTATTTTTATTTTTATTTATAATTGTTTTTCGTCTTGTTTTCCAGTAAATCTCACTAAATGTTTTTAAATTTGTTCTTAAACCTAAAGAAAAACAATTTGCCAATAAGGTGTAAAAATAGTTATTTAATGAAACGTAAAAAACTGCTTCCAAAATCACTGATCAAAAATGCATTAAAAATGGTAATAATGTGAAATATTATTACATTTTAAAAGACATGTTTTCTATTTGAATATATTTTAAAATACAGTATTCCTGTGATTCAAAGCTACATTTTTAGCAGTTATTACTCCAGTCTTCAGTGTCACATTAATTAATAAGTAGCCTGCAGGTCCAACAAGACAAAAGTAAGTAAACAGACAAACAAATAAATAAGTAAAATAAATAAATCCGTTTCTTTGTGTGTCTTGTTTCTAGTAAACCTCACTAAATGTTTAAATTTTCTGCTTAAATGTAGAAAAAACAATTTGCCAATAGGCTGTAAAAATCTTGCTTTAATATATATATATATATATGTTTTAATTGATCTTGTTTTAAGGATGTTATTAAAGGAAAACAGGACTCAGGGAGGTACAAACCCAAAAATACTGTGTGAAGTGACCTGCGGCAGCAGAGGGAGGGATGTGGAATCAAAGCGAGTGTGAAAACAGCCTAAATTGATTTGCACGAGTCTCTGTTTTTGGTGGCTGTTGTTGACAAACAGCTCCAGCACTCCATTACTCGCTCTGAATAATTAGAGAGCTGCGGTGAAACACCAGCCAAGAATTAAAGCAGCGTCTGTAAATCTGGCATCGATAAAAGTGCCGTAAGCGTCTCTCAGACTGCAGGAGTCTCTCCTCACTTTTACAAAACTATTACATAACCATCCCGACACAAAACTCAGTGACACTTTCTAACCTGTTTCTCTGAGCGCGTCTTTTGCACACATGCACACGTATGCAGCGTCCACACATGCATGCTATTCCTCTCATTCTCACCCTGTAAATATACTGTGTACCTTCATGCTAGAACAAGCAGGCTGATAGCTTTACAGCCCAACAACACATTTTCTCTGTCTGTTGCTGGTTTGGCTCGGGCTGCTAAATCATGATATATTTTGTCATTGGTGCTCATGATGATGGAACATGTTTCTGTTATTAATATTGCTGCATAGTGCATGCTACATAATGCTGCAGGGTGAATGAAGATGACTCATGGTGACATGTTTTTATCCATTCATCTCTGCCAAACCTCCTCAACCAGAGTAAAAGGCCATTTGAAATATTAGCAGGTGAAACACCCACCATATAGATATGTTTCTTATAATATTTCAGAGGAAATTTCAGACTTCCTCAAATGCAAATTGATCTTATGTTGATTATAAATATAATTGACTTGATAACACTTTACTTAAAGCCTTTACATATAATGCATTATAAAAGTAGTTTTAAAGTATTAATAATGCCATGTAATGCATCTTATAATGCATTGTATGATCTCTTGAATAATTGTAATCAGTTATAATACATTATAATCATGCATTATATTAATGCACATTGATGTATTATTTTATTATAACAATACATATAAATACTTTTCTTCTGTTAAATATATATGCACAACTAATTTCAACTAATTTTTTAAAATCTTGTCTAGTTGAGTCATGTATAACTTAAAAATATTAAGTTGAAATTGGTTAATTATATTGATGAATTAAAGTCATGGAAAATCAGAAGTTGCCATAACTTATTGATTCTATATTTTTTAGACTTATTGATCTTTGTGTAATTTAGAAAGTACAAGCTACATATTTTGTAGGTTATTCAAACTTTTTTCCTGTTATGCCAACATACAGGCCTATCTATTCCATCCTACTGAGCTAATGTGCGGTTTCCATCTGTCTCATTCTGTGTTTTTCTGTCAATATGGGGTGCTGTGTGTACATTAATGAGGAAAAAAAATTAACTTAAATGATTTTAGCAAATGGCTGCAATATAACAAAGAGTGAAAAATTTAAGGGGGTCTGAATACTTTCCGTACCCACTGTATATTCATCAAATCCATAGACAACTCTATAATCTTAATCTATTTATCTTCTTTGTCAGATCAGCTCTGCAAATGACAGAGAAATGGAGAGATGATCTGACGTTAATTCTGTTTGCAGGATAACTTCCCTGCTGGAAATCCAGAGAGACTCCAAGACTTGAAATCAACCGTCGACCTGCTGACAAGCATCACCTTCTTCAGGATGAAGGTACGACACTTTCACACACACACACACACACACACACACAATTATGTTGGCTTTTAAACTAGAATTAAAGCAGCGTGACTCAGCACTGTGACTCACACACAATAAAAACCCCTCATGCATCTCATGAAGGAGAATTCTTTCAGTTAAAATATGAATGATTTTCTTTTTTTGTGACATTCATTGGCAGTCAGAACATTATAGTAGTTGTTATTCAGTGTGAAGGACTTTCCTGGTTCCACAATAATTTCCTGCATTAAATAGTCAAGTATATTCAGCAAAAATAAAAAAGAAAGAAAGAAAAAAAGTCCTAATATAAAACTCCTTTGAAAGAAAATAATCCTCCTCCTGGAAAATAAGAAATTCTTTAATGCATAGAGAAAATTTAAAATGTTATTTATTTATTTTCATTTTATTTAGTATTATTTTCATGACAATTAAGCACATTTCCCCCCAAGTTCTCATTACTGTAATACATTCATGGAAATCATCAGTGTCAGTTTTTTCAATACAAATTCATTTAAAAAAATTATAATGACGTATAAATGCTTTACAATTGTAATAATATAGCATCATTATTTTTTTCTAAATTACAGCAATTCCATTTTTACATTATGTATTATAGTAAGGTAATAAAGCAATTCTATTGTGCTTAATTGTCATGAAAATAATGTCACAATGAATATAATCTCTGAATATCCATTTGATTTTCTTTATGCTTATATAATTTGGGGTGAAATATGACCCTGGTGAGTTCTTGACTAGTTTTGTGTAATTGAGCCTGGTTGTGAAATTCTGCTATATTTGACTCCTTCATTGGAGTTCTGATAGAGATCTGCTGTTGATTGTCTCGGGTGTTAATCACAGCTTTCCTGATAAGAGACCTGCATTGAGAGACTTCAGATGTGTTTCACTTCAGCGAGCACCAATAAAGTGAATATATTTTCTGATTGTTCATCAGCCGTGAAAATATAAAGCTGCACTGCTTTACAGTCAGTAATGAAATATTTTTCACCAGTGCTGCTGGGTTTCAATGATTTCTCATTTGTTTGCATGAAATAAAAAAATCTTTTGGCTCTTGAAATATGCACTTGAGTCAAATTTATTTGAGCACAATAACAAGAACCGCTAGTTCTGGGGGTCTCATGGCAATATAACTGTCTTTGACATATAGCTCAGCTCTGTGGGAGAGAATACGGCCTTTTTTGAGAAGTCATAAAGAATACGCTGATTTCTCACTGTTGGGGAGCCGGGAAATATATTCAGAGCAAATGTGCTGTAAAACCACACTACTCTTGAGTTGTAGGTTGCTGTAGGGTACAGCATTTATATATTTATACTATATATTACAGCAATATTCCAGACGTTTTGTCTTTGTAGACGTCCTCTAGATGAGATCGCAGCTGCGATTGGCCCCTGCTGTTAATTCACTGAGCTTGATTTTAATATATGACTGACTGTTGTAATCGCAGGTCAATATGAGTTGTAAAAAGCCTTCATATCCACTACAGAGAATAAACAGTGATTGATTTTTCCTCCCAGGCTATTACAGTTCATTTGCACAGTTTTGTCAGATTTAGTCCATGCTTAGAAACATAGACATTGACAGCCATTGGCCACAAACATACTGTATGCAATTATGCAAACACAGACAGATATTTGAAGTTTTCTGTGCCATTAACTCGCTTATTTTATTATTAGCTCATAACCTATAAACTGTGCACTTGCATTGCATTATGACTTGAATGTAATGACCTTAATCAAGCTTACGTAGCGAGAAGCGTTTGTGTATTTGTGTTGAATGTGTTTTGGACTTTGATGCAGATTGGGAATGTTTTATGCAGAACTGTATGTAGGTCAATGATCATGCAACTTTTTCAGTTGGTCTGAATCACTGGATATATTTTAAACTACATTAAAAATGCAGTTCTTAAAAACAAGGACTGTAGTGAAGCAGCTTGTATTATTAATATTTAAGAAAATGTTACACATATATTTATGAAAATATAGTTAAATATTT